AAAAAATATCTTGTCAAGCATGGTATGATTCTATATTAAGTGAATTATTTGTTTTGCAAGAGGCAGGATAATAAAGAACATAAAGAACAAACAGAAAAGCCTTCAATGGACTCGCAAATCTCTGCCGACATGGAAACCCTGTGGAAGAATACAGAAATACTGATGCAGAAGACTGAAAATAGCACATGTGAGAAGCTAGAAAATGCAGGAATAGTTGCGGAGGGAGATAATGATGAACACAGTGAAGAAGGAAAGCTATGGAAGGTGGTTGAAGGTAGTGGTGTTGCACTCTCTGATGATGTTGCATAGATACTGTAGCACGTGCTTTGTATATTATAAGTGGATTAAAATATATAAAACAACAGTGAATTTACGTGAACATTACCACAGCAAAAATTAATGACTGCAATAAGGTGCAGCTATACTAGAAATATCATCTTCGGCTGCAACTCTTATCTCTTCYGTATTTCCTCTTGGTGGACCACCTGTGTCCCCCTTACCTAAMTTCTTCCACAGGAAGCCCAGAGAAGAAAATACAGAGTGAAAGAGGTGCCCTCTATACTGTAAATAACAACTGCTGTATCACTGGATGGTGGTAAAATTTAAAGTGAGAGGGTTATTAATAATTGGATAAACATGCTGTGAGTACATCTTCAGAAGATGTTTTTTTGTCAGGTTATTCTAAACTATTGCGCAACAAGAAAAAGTATGACTGACAATAATGTATTYGCATACTCTTATGCACAGGCTGTTGTATGTTAAGCCAACACATTTTGATGCGAAGCTAACTGGTTTTACCAAATAAGGTGCTTAATAACTTGTTTAGGTATCTGATAGKTTCATCTACGCATAGTTTTGCCYATGTATAACTTTCGCCTACRGAAGTTYGCCTACGTATCAAATGCATTTTAAAACCTATCYATGAAGGGTGGGACAATAAATTAATATACTGTAAAAAGGGGAATAAATAGTTCTCACATAAAGGAAAAAAGTTTGTCAAGGCAAACAAAGTAAAAGAAACATCGTGAATGAGTTAACAACTTTAAGAACGAATGAATAACTGTTGCGTGACAACAAGAGTGTTGGAACTTGTCAATGAAACCAGCAAACTACYTGATTTTTATAAGAAATATTTGCTTGTTTGCCRAAATCTTGAKTWAAAAAAAAAAACCAACCCAAGTTTTATCTGCAGGAATGTTTATGTAAAACTCAAGGCAAATAAAGTWAGAAATTTCGTGAATGAGTWAACAGCAAAAAGCCTGTGCRTAGAAGTATGCAAATATATTAAAATAATGTGGTCATACTTTTCCATGTGGAGCTGTAAGGTTACAAGTTTAGGTTATTTATGGAAGATATTTTGGTAAAGATCTATTTGAYGCATTCATGTGTTTGTTCTAAAGAAGTTGGGCAAGAAGTGTTGCCGTTAAGTTATTAAGGCATGACTTTGCAGATTTAGGAATTACAAAGTACTTCATTGATTATCTTACAGGTATTTTGTTTTCTAAATTGGTGTCCCATTTCTGGCCGACTTTTCCACAACTATTAAAAAATTTAAAAAATTTGCTTCCTTAATTTGAAGTGAGACAATACAGTACCAGATTAAATAGTTATGTTTTGTAAAGTGAATTACCTGGTAATAATTATTATTGGACTGACTTTATCCCATCACACAAGAAAGTGACATTTTTTTAAATTTTCACATGGTATCATGTCAGCCATGACTATTAATAACAACTTTTTCTGCAAATTTTATTTAGAGCTATGTCAAAATGGCTGCAATGCGAATATGTTCCATTACACATGCATGAAAATCTAGAATATAGGAAATATGTTTGATCAGCCAAGAGGTTGTTTCAGGGTTCYATAAATTTGAAATATGTTACAGTACATGCACTGTAATTAGGTTATTTTTCAGCATTATCATGCTGCTATTGGTCACTGATGGTATAACATGTTCCAGTCTGTGCAATTCCAAAAGATGTCAAATTTCCCACCCCCACCCCCGTTGAGGGTCTTTGGTATACTAGAACTTTCTTACCCTGGTAATTTCTATATGACCCCACTGCCACTGAAAAGCCCTGTATAGCTTAGCTATAACCAACTTGGCTAACTTGGTCCCTAGTCATCATTTAATGTGCAGATACTGGACTCCCTCCCCTCCTATTCYCTATGCTTCTTCTACATGGAGAGGGGAGGGGGGTGGGGAGAATTATGCCAGCTGAGTTGCCAGCCTTTCCTGAAAGGAATTATGGGTCAACTTTTTGGTTAGCATTTTTTGAGCAGAGACCAAGTACAATTTTCATTTCTCTTGTCAATTGCCCTATTTCACTATGACATCACTGCTTGTTTATGTGGGGGATAGAATCACCAAATCCAATAGAAAATTCAACAAAATTTGCTCCTTGCGAAACAGTTTGATCTAAAATGGCCTGGTTTTCAGATATAATATGTGTTAATATGTACTAAAAAATATTCTGAGCATTTGCTGGCTATTCTACTTCTCTTCAAGGATTTGGCATTCTTCCTCATAAATTGGACTAGCATATTTACGATCAATTTAAAGAATGAAGAATTCATATTTCATGGATTCTCTTGGCAGAATAATGGAAAATGCTAATTAAAATACGATGTTGAATCTTCAATTCTGATTGGTTGATCTTGAGTTTGTTTTGAAAGTCAACTCAGCTGGTGCTAAATCAGTTCAGCAAAACAAATTGCTGTGTACCTTGCCTTAAAGCCATAATATCTTCATCTCGTTTAATTTATTTAAACAATAGAGTAGCTCCATTAAAGAATTTTTTAAAAAACTGCACAGATCACAGAAAGTCTAGCCCACTTGCATTGTAGACTTTATCCTTGTTATCATCATCCCAAGGAATCCATTAAAAGCATCACGAACCTCTCGATTGTAGTTACTATTAAGAATGAAATAACTAAAAGCCAAAATTTTATGTAATTTACTTAACCACAAATTAACGTTTACGAGGTTAAAAATTTAATCCAACCTGCATGGCACTGACAAGTGAAGGCAAATAACTATATTTTCTTAACTTAAGCAAAAGATTTGGAATAATGTTGATGAAAGTACAGAAAATGAACCATCCTAGCCTCATTTACATAGCATTAATTTGTTGTGCGTAACAGACGTCTAAAGGCTATGTTAATTGTTATTGACGACTCTTAAAACCCTAGTCTATGTGGGCTTAGTCTCACCTTTGTGGTCAGTAAACCAAAGCAGAAATTAGAATAAATCCAGCAACTCCTAAATTTGAGGCTAAAAGACTGCATATGCTGGAAATTTAAGAGTCATCAATTCCTTGTTTTGGGAAAGTGTTAGATATAGTCTCATTCCACGATGGACCAATTTTCTTCCATAAACTGTTAAGTTTTGTTTTTACTCTGCCCCCCCCACCCCACCCCTAAGAAAATTCCTTTATGCGGGCGGGGGGAGGGGGTATGGATAAATTCTGGAACTACACAATTTCAACTGAAAAACCCTATTGGCTGTAGTGTTTCTCATTTCTTAATTAGATACATTTGTATTCCATGACTACACACAAATTTGTACAGGCTTAACTTCATTTAAAAGCAAATGAGTTGCAAAGGACACCAGTAATGTAAAGAACTGGGAACTTTAACAACACCAGCATTTGAAAATTTCATGGACTTTTAATGGTATCCATAAATAGCTAACTTATTAACAAGGCTAAAAATGTATAAATGAGTMKGGTCATGAAATACAGCAGTGTGTATCRGATGAGAAAGAGGACTGTAGACCCCTTGCACTCAATYCCTAGAGGAATTGTTCTGGGGGAYGAARCAATAGGTGATCTTTTCTTATACAAAACAAATCCATTGCTTTGTCCCATACAACAATACAACATTTTACAGTTCYGTTCCAAGCTGAGGCTGGAGTTTCYGCGCATGATAAAAAGTATAGYTTTGCTATGCGCGGAAACTGCAGCCTTGACTTGCAACTATTATTCATGGTCACTCGAAGGGAACTGTAAAATGAAGTATTCCTCTAGGAACTTGGTGCAAGGATCTGTTGACTGAATTTAGAAAATGGTACCATTTGTAATTTATGGTAATAAAATAACACATATTTGGAAGTGCCCCTTGCAAACTTAATATTTATTTGTACCCTTCATAATATGTAAAAAATATGTCATTTCCTTTACTCAATTGCCCTGTAAGTGTTGCCGCTCAAAATTAGATTCACCCCCATCCTACTATTGCCCACCCAATCCCATAAATTATGAACGGTCCATTTGAAAAGTGATTTATTACGTTTTGTCATGGGTTTTCTTCACAGATTAAGCGTGAATGGTTGTAACAATGTTGAATAATAGTAACTTAGTGAGCAACTAGATTTGTATTTATTTGATAAATAACTGTTATGGTAATAAGTAAAGTTAGTTTCTATTCTTTGGTAAAAAAATATTTTGATATTTATTAAAAGTAAATAATGGGGCAGTTGAAGTGGACTGCTTTTGAGATTTATTTGTTTTGAATGAGTTTATTATTATATTATATTATGATAATCATACCTTTTTTCAATTTAGACTCCTCTGCGGCAGATCCAGGGGTGGTAAAGGGGTGAAAATTCCAAAGTAATGGGGGAGGGGAGGGCCAGAAAAAAATGTGCAAGTATTTAGGGAGGGCCAAATTTTTTTATATATAAGGAAAGGGAGGGCCACTATAAAAATATGCAGACCAAAAATAAAATGCACCACCCTCGCCCCTCTAATTTTTGACCTGTCGATTACCTCCTACCGAGAAATACTGAAGGGAGAGAAAACCAGAGTAACCAGAATAGGGAGAGAAAACCAGAGTAACCAGAATAGGGAGTGAAAACTAGAGTAACCAGAATAGGGAGTGAAAACCAGAGTAACCAGAATAGGGAGAGAAAACCAGAGTAACCAGAATAGGGAGTGAAAACTAGAGTAACCAGAATAGGGAGTGAAAACTAGAGTAACCTAGAATAGGGAGTGAAAACCAGAGTAACCAGAATAGGGAGTGAAAACCAGAGTAACCAGAATAGGGAGTGAAAACCAGAGTAACCAGAATAGGGAG